TGAGTTTGTTAGCTTACAGGCTGTTAACACTCAAACAAACTGGTCATTAAATGTGGTTACTATTTATTTTAATGGGAATTTACTAGAACCTTTATTTAAAGCTTTAATGGGAGAGTCACAGCATGCACACATACAGTCCCACACATCCAAACAGATTTGCCTGGATTTGAAACAAAAAAAAAAAAAAAAAGAGAAACATTTCACAGCATCAATGCCCACCTCTCCTCCAGCAAAAAGGATATTAGGAGAGTTTGGATTCTCTGAAAGAGCTTCATATCTAATAAGAACCACTTGAATCTTCATTACTTTGTAGTGTCATTATGGTAAGTGGTTCTGATCTGTGTCCTTTAGAAGCCCATTGCAAATCTCATTATTATTATTACACAGAAGTTTGATAAAGCTCTTAACGTCATTTCTCATGTACCTTCATCCCCATGGAGTTTAATGGAAGAAAAAAAGAGGAAAAATAAAAACAGGAATAGAAATATATTAAAAGGGAAATAGAAGTAATAAAACTTCAGACTTTTTTGGTTCATTACTATGATAAGCTAAAATACAGCAAGTTGCTCAGGGAAAACAAAAATGGAATTGATCCCTAATGTAAGACTGGCCTCTAAGGCATGTAGCTATAAGAAGAGAAAGCACAGTCTACTGGGAAAAAAAAAAAAAACCAACAAAAAAACACTGTAGTAGACCTGGAGGGACAATTATACTCCTACCTCTGTTACTGACCACAAAGTACTTCATCCTCTGCAGCATCCTCCCATCTTTTTGCCTATTTAATTTGTCTTTCCCTACATAGAGGGTAGTGCTGGATGTGCCTAAATTCTTCACAGTTTCCTCTGTTCTCCCAGTTACAGAGAAGACAGGTCAGAGTAGGAGAAGCAATCTACTGCAAGCTGCAGAGAGGCCAGAAAGGGATATAAAAGAGGGTTTGGAAGCAGTAAAAACTATCAGAAAAATCTGTTTCACATAACGCCCCTAAAAGTCAACAAATCAGCCTCTGGAAGAACACCCCTCCCCACTAACCAGAGGGACTCACAGATTTGCCTTCAATGAGGAGCCTGAAATCAAAAGAGGTTTTAACATCTATTACATGCTTCCTCAGTGAGTAAATACACAGGACCTTCAAAAGCTCAGAGAAGTTTCTAAGCAGATTATGTGACAAGTGTCCCCCTCCTTAACACAGCTTTTTCAGCTCTATAACAACTTTCAGTTTCTGCAGTATCTCTCCGGGTTAACAGCAAAGAAGATAGAAGGGGAGGAATCTTATAAGGACTGAAAGGCAGATATTTTCAATGTGGCCACACATTTATTGAGTTGGATCTGGTTTTTGGCCGAGCTGAGCATCCACGGCTCTAATTAAAGTCCCTATTAACTCTGGGCACTCGTGACTGACGAAAGCTGAGGCTGTCAGGGAGGACAGGATCTGATTACTGGTCATGCTCGAGCCCTGTGCAGCTCTTCAGAAATCTCTCTGGCTGGAGCCAAGAAGTGAACTGGTGTCAGAACTGAGAACCAGCCCCAGGAGCCTGCACCGCTTAGCCTGAAAAAATTTATTGTTCTTAACTTCCCATTTCTATGATTTGCTCTTTGTCTTTCAAATATTTCTCACTTTCAACCTCCCGGGATCTGACAGCCTCCTGTCTAAACTCTCACATGTGCCAGACCCATTGTTAATAATATTTCACAAGATATTAGGATTTCAGATGCATCTCCCTTGCCTTGTTTGCAAGAGCTTTTCAACAAAAGACTATGGACATGTCTAAACTCCTAATATTTGCTGTGATAATACCATTTAAAGGCAAGTGGGTTGGGAATGGCAGAGAATAACTGATATTTTCATTTAGCTGCTGATGTGACTGGGATTTAGAGAACAATCTGATTGATGTCTCGGCTTCATTTAAAATAAAATAATTAGGCTACTAAAATCTGGAAAGTATATTTTCATTTTAACTGGTCTGTGTGCTCAGCCCAGGCTCCAAGAAAGGACATGGAACGTTACAGGAATGGAAATGAGGGATTGGAGTAGGAGAAATGATATACTGTAGATTAGTGGCAGACGAGGAAAGGATATGAAAAAGGGTCTGGCAGAATTAAAATAATCAGGAACTAAGAAGAAAAACCAAGAGTTCAAAAAAAGATGTAGAGCATTCCATTAATCATCATTGTGGGAGGTAACAGAGGGTGGACAACAATACGAGAAGAGGACTGAAGAAGCACAACTAAGAGACAGAAAGCTGTAGATATGAATAAAACAGGCATAAAATTCATTTTTTTTACTCCTGTTTCTAATAGCACTCTGGTAGCTGCCCAGTGGGAACAATGAAAGATTGGCTGAGGGAACAGAAGGCTCCCAGCTGCATGAAAAACTTTTAAGATCAGACCTACAAATATATGCACAACTTCAGCATCTTAAACCCCCAAATAAATGCACTTTTAAAATATTTTTATCCTTTGCGTCACTCTGTCACGGGACAAAGGCAGTTGAAAGACTGGACATAAAAAAAGGCCCAAGGAATTTTGGATTTGATCTCTTAATTTCGTGAAAATTCAAGCATATATCTCAGCTGTGCAAGAACTCAGAAACAGAACCACATGCACCAGCTGGACACTCCTAATTATACAAACACACAGACTCTGACAGCAAGAAATGCAACACAACGCACTTTTTTGAGATAAAAAAAATAAATAAAAAAGCCTTTTGTTTAAGTGAAGCCAAGACACTGTACTTTACATCTGCACACACATGGACCACAAGATCACAGCTAAAAAGCCAATCATGGAGCTCAAGCCAGGCGTAGAGTGAGAGTGTGATAATACCCACCCCAGTGGCCAACAGCATCAAAACGTAATGTAAGGTTTCCAGAAGCCAGGAATCTCAGCCAATGAACTGAAAACAACTTGAAACAAAATCAAATAATATCTCCTTTGGATCTTTACAATCCCTCCCACAGTGTGAAAGCCTGATCTGACTGTGACAAGAAAGGGACTAAACACTCCTTCTCTCCCTGTAGTGATTACTCTTCCTAACTCAGATTCATGGTTGTGTGGTCTTTCACACCTACATTCCTCTGGAAACCAGTCACCCATAAAATATACTATATGAGCTGCACTATATTAGCTGGAGAAAAATGAGGCTCTCAAAATCTGAGAGAAAGCTGGAAGAAATTTAGTCTAAGTGAATATTGCATACCCAAGGGACAGAGGTACTTGGAAGAAAATCCTGTTAAAAACAGATTGTTTTCCCCCTCTTCAGTCTTAACTTTTTTTTTTTCTCCTTTCTTTAGGGATTTTTTTCCTTTTTATTTTTTTTTCCTCTAATTTAAAACAAGTTTGTCATCCCCCAACCACCTCTTTCTCAGCACAGAGAGGATATTTTTGGAACATATTGTCTTGTATAACAGATACACTGAAGTGGTCTGGAATAGCTTTTTTGTTCTCCATGTCAGTGAAAGAAGCTGTATTTGTGGGTACTTGGGTCCAGGTGCTATTCTACAAGTAAGGTAAGGACCAACCAGGAAAAAAACAAGAAACCCTAGATAGAAAAAAAATAATAATAAAAAGCAATTAAAAACAAACAAACAAAAAATCACACCAGGATTTGCAAGAATAATCCTGGATATAAGCCCAGAAAAAATGTGTCAAAAATACAGGAAACAATTGTTGCCCTTGTAGTTGGATTTTCTGTTCTAGCTACCTTTCTCTGGATTTGTTACCAACACATCTACACTCTTACTCTGTCAAACTTACAACTGCACTAAGCACAGAATAAGACCTTAAGTTTTTTCATGAAGGTCTCTAAGTTTCTGTACTAAATAACCTTTTTCTGGTCTCTGCCACTAATAAAACTCAGTTCATTAGCTGAAAGGAATTATAAGTAAAACAGGGATTATGACAGTGCTTCCCCTTTTGCTCCTACCTGATGCCCAAATTGTTAATCAATTATTGGTGTTCATGCAAGTATCTCATACAAGACAAATGAAAATCCACTTCCTCTCTGGCCTGACGTATTTTGACTTTTCACACTATTTACTGAAAACCAGCTCTTGATAGCTCAGAAAACTGTACAGGAGGTACATCAGAAAAATTCACAATAAAAGTAAATACCACCCCCTTCACATTAAAAAGACAGACTTTTGTCTCCCATTGGCTAACCATTAATGGTGCATAAAAAACATGTGATTAGGACCTTGAGAGCTGGCATGGCTCAAATACGGTATATTGATGAACCACGTTGGAATGGAAATCAGATGAAAAGTATTCCTGTAGTGGCACTTTAGCCTAACTGTTGACAGATGGAGAATGGAAGCAACATAAATGCTCTCTTTTTGTGTCAGCACTATAAAAATGTCTGACTAGCCCATGAAAGATGGAGATGAAAGCTTAGGCAGCCATTAGAAACTGTGCCTCACCTCAAGCAATAACTCATTCCCATGGTATTATGAAAATGGTTTTATTGCAGAGGGTTACTTCTCCCCCTTCTGCAAAAATTGCTGCTTATCAGCAGTGCAGAAATAAAGCCAGAAACTCCCAGTCTTTTAAATTCTCCTATGCAATCTCCTTCCCAATGGTCAGGAATTTCCTAAAATATAACATTTGATTAAACCAGTTTGCATGCCTTTCTGAAACTGACACCATTATCTGAAATACAGCACTTTCAAGTGTCCTGCCATTAGTTCACAGCAGCTTAGCTGCCTGTTGCATTTATTTATCTGAGTATTAATGCTCTTCCAAACTGCCTGGACAGGAATCCAAATCTTTTGGCAGACTGGGACTGGAAATCAAATGGAGGTAATAAAGGCAGGAAGAAATTCAAAAGCAGTGTCCAATAAGGGGGTAGTGTTTAGGATTGGCTTTGTTGGAGTTTGGGTGGTATTTTTTGGAGGCATCTTCTCATGCACAATGCATTTTGGTCACAGCTTGCTTCTAAGCAGTCAAGCTTCATTAGAGAGCAAAACAGAACCAGGTGTATTTTAAAGTCAAACACTCACAAAATCCAAAGTATGCACGATCTCCATCATCAACACAACTGGAAGTTATGTCAGTACATCCTGAAGGGGTTGCAGGCTCCCCAAGGCACAGGAATTTAGCCTGAGAAGTCGATGTTTAGAGTCAGTGCAAGGTGTCTGTATCAGACCCTGCAGTTCCTCACCATATCAGTGCCCTGCAGGGTGTGCAGCTGGCATACCACAGCAGCTTTATCCAGGTCTTGCTGGACACCCCAAAGCCACTTTTTTGGTAGCCAGTTGCAGGAATCCCTGTATAAACCTATCCTGAGGGAGTGGCCAAGCCTCGTGGGACAGCTGAAATGAAAGAATGCAGCCTCATTTGGTTAAAATACATTTTTGGTTTTGCTTTCTTCAATGTTTTAGGAATCTGCACAGCCAAAAAAAAAAAAAAAAGAAAATAATCCAGGCAAGTTTGGCTTCAAATGGTGCTGACAGCATGTTGTCTAGGCCAGTGAGACTGTTCTCTACACTTTTTATTTTCATCAGTCATACACACATGTGTGAATGTGTGCTCATAAAAAAGAAGGGAAAACAGTGGCAGAAACAGGGAGGCACATCTCTGCCAAGAAACTCCAAATCACAAAATGAACAAAAAACAAACTTGGAACAGGACTGACAGACAGAGAGAACATATTTTCTCAGACTCAAAGGAAACCCTAAATGACAATTTTATGACTGTGGTAATTTTTCCAAGTGACATGCTGCAAGAGGGTATTGTGGGCTCCCATGAAACATTTAATGGTCCCACTACACAGGGAAAAGAATGGCTGGAATACCTCCTCAGCCTCTGGTGGGACTCAACCTTTTGCTCAGACAGTGATGTGAATATCTGCAAGAAAATGTTTACTCTGCACCTTACTCCTGAAAAACAGATTCACTTTTCCTTCAAGATGTCTCTCTAGATTTTCCAGAAAGAGGGTCTCATTCCCCAGGTTGTGCAGGTTGGATGAGCCACGTGTTCCAGTGACTGCATGGAGACACTTGCACAGCAGCTTAGCTTAATTTTTAATTAGCCACTGATGCTTTTACCCAGAAGAGTAGCAGTAGTTACACTTCATGTCTGGGAGGCCTCATTCTCATCACATGCTCAGGGATAGGACCCATCCATCCTTTTTTAAGTTTGATTATACAGCTCTGAGCTAGATTTTCCTCAAGCTGTATTTTGGCCAGCCAGGTGGCTTTTGAGTGTTCTGGACAGAGAAAAGGGGTTCATAATCCTGTATCTGTACTCAGGTCTATTTACAAAAGAGCTTAGACAACACCATTCTAATAATCTGTGTCTTGGTGAGGAAGCTGAGCACCTGCCTTGGAGCAGTCATTTGCTCCAAAACCATATGGCCAGCCAAGATAATCACTCAGCTGTGTATTTACTGCTGTAGAACTACATACTCAGAGACCATCTACAGAAAAATGTCATTTTCCACCATTACAAATGCTAAAATCTTCCAGCATTTCCTTGTTAAACCGTACCCTATGCCCCTTTTCATCCAAGCCTTACCAAATCTCAACATCCAAAGGCTGTTCTAAGGGAGAAATTTTTTTATGGAGAGGAGAAAATACATTTTCATTTTCTATCCATCCTAGGGTAATAGTTGGTTTGAGTTCAGCAAGGCAACATTAGTGAAGTCCTACATGCTGAAACATTTGTTTAAATCAGGAAGGACTTACACATTCAGCATTTGCTGAGTCTGGTCCTTATTAGAGAGCTTTGCAGAGATATTAGTCACACATGCACATTGTGCATTTTAAATTTAAAATGACAGAGTGTGTCTGATGCAGAAAACTTTGCTGCCTTGCTTGTACAGTAATGTTCTTACAAAAGTTTTTTAAAATGTGCTTGATTTGCATAACACCATTATGACTTACACTATTGCAGACTCCTTTAATAACAATGAGGTGCTATGGATTGACATGATCGCTTATTATGGCTTCAAATAATATGTAAATAACATTTAAATGGCTTCTCTCGGAGCCATTACTGTCAATCAAATAAATACCTATATTTTGGCTTCTCATTTTTATGTCCTTAACTAACATTAAGAAATAAAAAAGCAACTTATAAACAAAACCTGTAACAAACAGCTATTTTGCTAACAATCTGGTTTAAACTGCCAGGAAAACAACAGAACTCAGTCACAGTGCCAAAACTGTAATTTTGGTTGCACTGTTGGGTCTGAATGCCATAAAGATTGGGATAAATTTTGCGTCAGGACAACCACTACTTATGGACATCAGCCCAAGAGGGATGATATACAGAATTTTAGCATCAAGAGAGGAATCCCACAGTACTCTCAATAATGCTTATCCTGTAAATATTATGTGCATTTTCCCCAGATCTCAAGGTGATTTATAAAACTTTATGTTGGACCACTAGCAAGGGCAGCAAGGCTTGGGTACAGACACCGAGGGGGTGTCAGCAATTTTTCACTAGCATCTCATGAAGGGCTCTGCACAATATTGTGGCAGAAAAATGCTCTCCCTGCAGGCTCCATGCCCACCTGCAATGCCCTTTAAAGCCAAAACTACCTGGACACCCCCTGATGAAGCTGGGGTGAGTCAAAAAAAAAGCAAAGGGACCTCAAAGAGACTCAGGAGTCAGAAAGATGGTCAGGTCTCCTGCAGGTACAGCTACTGTGTGCCTGGAGTCTGTGCTTGTGTGAAGCACAGTAACGCCAAATCTTGGTTGTCTGTCTTAGCCCCAGTCCTGGTTCCGGTAAAATCGTCTTCTTGCAGCTGTGTCCCTTTCCCTGTGCCTCTGCACACAGGTGCACATGCAGAGCAAGACCCAGCAGCATGAATTTCAGTACATTGAGCCACTTTTTTTCCTTCTGGCAGAAAGCTATCCTTTGTAGAACGATTATGATGCTACAAAGATTCAATACAGTACCGGTACCAGACACCAGAGCCTGGGCTTCACCCAGCTTGCAGGAAAACAGCTCAGTGTAGGCAGATGTGTCCAGCCATGGATGTCTCCATGAGGGAGAGATTATTTTTGAGGGCTAGATTTAAAATTAACACCACAGTAAAAACATTCTTATGTCAGTCAACTTTACTCTGCAGCATTCAACCTAATACCTGTACCTAATACTGCTACAAAAACAAACAAACCAAAAAAAAGATTTTGCTAATTAGTAAAATGGTGAACCATTTACTGAAGAAAAATATATTAAGAAGTACAAACTCCATGTCTCAGCCAGATTTCTGCTATAGAGAGCCTGTGTTTTTGCTTTCTCTGTTTTGGGAGGAGGAGCTACTTCTTTCTCTTGAGAAGCTCAATCACAGCTACAGTTTGTCAGAGAGCAATTTCTCCTCCACCCTCAGATAAGATGGCTTTATTGACAAACCTCTTGGCACATTCCCAGCCAGGAGGAAAAACCTGGAGTGATGGGCTCTTAACCAGCACCTGAGAACTGCCCAATGTCGTCTCTGCCTTGGGTTTTTTTCACACTAAACCCAAGCAATGCTGACCTTGAGGTGCTCAACTACCATTTCATGAGTGGCTTTATCAGTAACCAAGCTCAACAGCAGCAATTAAATGATGGCTAAAGCTGTTTCTTCTCCTTTTTTTCCATCCCCAAAAACACCTGCTGAGGCAATGCCAACTAGGCTGACCTGTCCTTTTCAGCAGAATAAGACCCATGTACAGGGATAAGCAGGGCTAGAATGAAACAATTAGAAAATGCAGCACACCTCACATATGCCCTTATGTAGGGAAGCCAGAATTATTAGCATAATCACAGTGTGCTTTGTTAGCATTAGAATTAAAACTGGAGAGATAGCCCGTTGTTAGTGCAGGCAATTCAGCCAGACAACAGTTGGCCTTACTAATTAGCAAAATAGTGCCACTTTAAGAGCTCTCTTTGGGTAATCCTCAGGGAATTTCAGACATCAAGGCAGATAATGTGCTTTCCAGAAAAGCTGGCAAGAGCTAAAATCTGCACAGCCAAATACCTATGTGCGAGGAATCGCTACCATGGGCAAGTTCCATGCTGAGAAAAGCCTGGATTCATTCACTCATTCATTCATAAAAATATTGCCAGCCTGCAGGTTCTGCTGCAGGTCTCCTAACACTTGTGTTTTGTCTTGGTCTGCACTCTGATTTCAAGCTCTTGAAAGTGGATGATTATCAGAAAGTAACTTTTTTTTTTTTTAATGTGCATTTCTTGCCCTGTTAAGGAAGAAAACTGAGAAGTGAACTTCTTAAGCCCAAGCATGAGAAGAGAATCAAATAAACCTGCTTCTTTCCTCTTGAGGAGCTTCAGAGAATTTTGGAAAAGAACCTGAGATTGTTGAAAAGCCTGGAACTGGGCTTAAAAACACACCTTGCTGGCTATCAAAATTGCATTATTTAAGGAAGCCTAACCCCTTGTTTCCATGCTTATCCAAAGGATGTCTCTGTTCTCCCATGCAGCAGCCTGGAGCCAGCCCCCACCCCAGCATGGGACAGCTGTGTGCTGTTCATGGCAAGTTAACATGCAAGCCAGGCTTCCAGCAGCTCCCCAGCTCTGCTTACTAAGCTGGAGATGAAAGAATCAATTCTTCTGGGAAAAGCTGTGTACTTCATACTGCATTACACTTGCTTCAGCCCATATTAGGGTATTTAAGGCACTGCTGATTATTTAGCATAATGATTCAACTAAGGGCATTCATTATAAGGCTGTCTTGGAAGACATAAAGATCTGTTCTCCTGTACTGGGTATTTTGGCTCTATAAAGCATTTGATGGCTGCAGAGAAAGATATGCCTGAAGTGTAGCACACAAGAATAATAACCTTAAATGTTGAAAGCATATTAATATTTCATCAGGGGAACCAGAGAAGCTGGAAAGCACTAGGGGCCCAATCACACGATAATTATTTGATAGGACACTACATCCAGCCACAGGGATAATTCACAGGGTTTACAACTGCTCTATTTTCATTGGCAGGCCTGGCAGGCAGCACTGGACACACTGACAGCAGGAATTTGGTTGCAGGAACAAGTCCTGAGTAATTAATCTGGGACAGGGAAGGATTTGGTTTCAGAGAAGTCAGGCTCTTTCCTGCCACTACTCTCTGAGCTTTGTGTCCAGCCCAGTTGTCCC